GGTGAGCAGGAGACCCCAGATTTCACGCGGGGTCCACGGCGGCCTCCCTCGCCCTCAGCCAAACACACCCCACGGCTGCTGCAAGGGGTTTATTGGGCCCGCACAGTGACCGCGGGGCAGGCGGCCAGCGGGGCGGCCGGAGTGAGCTCAGGCCGGCGGGCCGGGGCGGCGTCACCAGCTCAGGACGCCGGGGCAGTACTTGTCCACCAGCCGCTGGTAGTAGGGCCGCAGCTGGGCCACATCCGGCAGGTCCGGGCTCTTGGTGTAGAGGTCGAACTTGCTGCAGTGGGGCACGAGCGGCTCTGGAGCAGGAGCAGGAGCCCGGCCCCAGCAGGCCCCGCCCCCGTCCAGGGTCCGGGCTCTCAGGCTTGCAACCACCGTGCAGCCCACCCTGAGCCTCAGAGTCATGCGCAGGGGCCGGTGAACACGGCCGGGCTCTCGGCTGCGCTGACCCCGCAGGGGTGGGCTGCTGTCCCTCGGGCTCACCCCCGTGCCCGCCCAGGGCAGACAGGGCTCTGCCACCCTCGCGGCCTCGCGGGCATTTCCCGGCCATGCACGCTTTGTGCTCCGGCAACGTCCTGGTCAGTGAGCTCCCCGACCCCCGACACAGCCAGCGGGGGGTGCGTCCGAGGAGCAGGGGGCTCATGGGCCGGCGCCCAGATGCGCCTCACGACCACCACCCCCAGGGGCTCCCACCTGAAGGAGAACAAGTACCTGATCGTGGTGACCGACGGGCACCCTCTGGAAGGCTACAAGGAGCCGTGCGGTGGCCTGGAGGACGCGGTCAGCGAGGCCCGGCACCTGGGTGTCAAAGTCTTCTCGGTGGCCGTGACGCCGGACCACCTGGTGGGCTGCCCCCTCCCGCGCCCCCTGGCCCCCCACAATCCCCGCCCCCAGCAACCCCGGGCCCTGACCCCGTCCCCCCGCCCCGTGGCCCCCACGGCCCCCACGGTCTCCACACCCCACCATGTCCCTCCCGCGCCCAAGCTGTGGCGACCTGTGCCCCGCATCCCCGCAGCGCCCCCACCCGCACCCCGCAGCTGCTGCCCCGAGCCTCCACCTCCTCACCCCAGCGCCACCCCATTACCCTGCCCTCACCACACCCCAGGAGCAGCGTCTGAGCATCATCGCCACAGACCACACCTACCGGCGCAACTTCACCGCGGCCGACTGGGGGCAGAGCCTGGACGCCGAGGCGGTCATCAGTCAGACCATCGACACCATCACCGACATGATCGTGAGTGGCCCCCGGCCCCGCCCTGGCCAGGCCTCTGGCCGGGCAGGACGTTCACCCAGTTCCCTTTACTTTTCAGA